ATTATAATTATAGAAATAAATATAACTATAAGTATAATTACAATTATAAGTATAGCGATATTTATAACTAGTGTAATACGTATAATAATAATTATACCTATTATAATTATGTTTCTAATTATAATTATAATTTTTATAATTATGATTATAATTATAATTATATTTAAATTATATATGTGTAATTACATTTATAATTATTGTAATTATAATTGTAATTATAATTTTAGAAATATTCAAATTAGATCAGATCAGAAAGATTCAGATCAGATCAGAAGGATTCAGATCAGATCAGAAACATTCAGATCAGGTCATAAACATTCAGATCAGATCAGGAACATTCAGATCAGATCAGGAACATTCAGATCAGATCAGAAAGATTCAGATCAGATCAGATCAGATCAGAAAAATTCAGATCAGATCAGATCAGAACTTAAAAAATTCAGATCAGAAACATTCAGATCACTTGAAGAGAACAACTTCTTAGTCATATTTTCCAATTGGGGAGGAAGGGTTATAGGGGGCAACCTTATTTTTTAATTGGGGGCAAATACTTAGCCTTTAATAATTTATCACATAATACAAGGGTTTAAGGGGAGCTTATTGGGGGCAGCTGCCCCCCTACTTTGTTACTACATCCGCCCCTGGTCTCAGTGACCTTGTTTAGTAAACATACTTCCCCCGTTCTTTTTTAATTGCAACAATCAACTTTGCACATTTGCCAACGCACGCCTTTGACCGTCAATATCTCTTATTCTCTATTAGTAAAAAAATTGAAAAAATAGATTTTGAAAATTTTGTAATGAGACAAATTGAACAATATTTTTATAAAAAACAATTCTCATAAATTAATAAATAAAATGTAGTCAAGGTATATAGTACATGAATAGTGTAAAATTCAACATGTTGCAACTAAAAAAGAACAGAGGATAGTATTTTGTAGATCTTTTAGCTTTATGAATCTCTTTTAATGTTTTTGATCACACACATAGCTATTTTTTTTTTTGGAAAAAGACACATAGCTATTTATTAAACAAGCTAGATAATTTTTATAAAGGAGCTACAAAATAGTGTTGTATTTTTCTGTAATAATTATATATGAAATAGCCGACATCTCCACCTTTCACTAAACGATAGAATAACGACATTCACATGCTTTCATTTACACATTTTTATTATGAAACTATACATTTTTAGCACATTCATTTACAAATTGAGTTAAGTCAAATAGAGAGAATTACTGTAAAAAGACTAAAACTTTGAACAAATGCAAAACTAGGACTCCTATGTTTATTTTGCAAAACTAGGACTACAAATTACCTAATTAGACAAAAATATCATTAATGATTATCGCTCCCGTACTTAACAGCAGACTAGCATCGCCGATTACATTGCCGTATAATCTGGTCCGATAGAGCACACCAGGTCTTCTCCTCCTCCTCCTCCTCTTCCTCCTCCTCCTCCTCCTCCTTCTTCCTCCTCTACTTCTCATCTTCTTCTTCCAGATCCTTATTTCTTCATTTTTAAATTTGTTTATTGTTAATTCATTTACTATTTCAGTTTATAAATCAAAAATACTATTTTAGATATGAAAACTTGAGATAAAAACAACAATTCAACGAACGGTCATGGTCGGAAATATTTGGATTTGGATTTTTATTACTTTTTTGGTTTTGATTAGATTTGTTTATGAAAATGCCATAAATGCTTGTTATTAGAAAAAATGTCACTTTTATGTCATTATATTATATCAAGATGTCAATATTTTAATGACATGTTTTTTGACTGGATTGCCATATGTTGTCATTTTTAGCAATATTATTTTCGAAAATGCCATGATCATGGAAGTTTCATACTCCATCCGATTCAAAAACAAGTTCCACCTTTCCTTTTCGGGCAATTCCAAAATTAAGTTCCACTTTCAAACCCTTCCTTATTTGGCAAATTATCTACATCAAAACAGTTCCAAACAGTGTCAAACAGTGTCCAAACAGTGCCAAACAGTGCACTCCACAGTAAAGTCAAATTTCTTTTCTTAATATGTGTGAAGTCAAATGTGGAACTTGTTTTTTAATCAGAAGGAGTATAAAGACATGACAGTCTCAGTGGTAAAAAATACTCCCTCCGTCCCTGAATGTTGTTCCAATTGCGGATTACGAAGGTTGACCGACGATAAAGTTAAATGATTCTTGTGAAAACTTGGATTATTTTTAGTAAATAAAATTTACATATTCAGAAACTACATTAAACCCGCTACAAAGCCTGCAAAAAAAAATCAATTTTCATAAAGTTTTGATACAAAAAGTAAGAGTTTAAGAGTGATTTAAGTTGACTCTCGAAAAGCGAAATGAAAGTAAATTTAGGGACAGAGGGAGTATGAATTTTTTAGATGAAAAATAATTGCAATTTAAGGATGATAATTCTGACATCATTGGGAAAACTTGTCAAAAAACATGTCATTTCTAATAACAAGTACTTATGACATTCTTAGATAACCCATAAAAATGCCATAAAATGTCATAAGAATGACATTTTATTATGGACATGTGACATTTTCATATTATCATCCTGCTAAATATACTGTCACATATGTGGCAGTGTTTTCAAATAACCAATAATTTTGACATTTTCAAATTATAAAAGTGACATTTTGCTGAATCAATATATTTCAAATAAAAAATCCAAATTAATATATAAAATTCAAATCCATAAAGATTCAAAGAAGAAGAGAACAAAGGATCAGAAATTTGAAGAGGCCAAGATTAGAAGAAAAAGAAGAGGAAGAGGAAGAGGGAGAGGAAGAGGGAGAGGAAGAGGAAGAGGAGGAGGATACATGTAATCTTTGGAGGAACCTGCAACGGCTTGGATTTGGAGAGCTACTATTGATTTCACTGATGGCCTGGGAAGATTCGATCTGGAGAGCTGCTATTGATGGCGCCTATGGGAGAAATCCCAAGAGCTGGGGCTTGGGGCGGAAGATATTGCAGAACAGAGCAGGTGAAGTTGAGTTTAATAATTGAAAGGGTAAAAGAGTAATCTAGAGTCCTATTTAGGGAATAAAAAACCTAAAGTCCCATTTAGGAGTTTAGTCCATGTTTTAGTCTCATTTTGGACAATTTCTTAATCAAATAATGTCTGTGCATGACAACAAAAGTCTATGACTAATGACTATAGTTTTTTATTTGTGTTAGATTTTTTGTACGCTACATGAAATTTTCTTCAAACAAACATTTTTCAAGTTATCTAATTTGACTGATAAAAATCATTTCTTTGAAAGATTTTAAAGTATGTACAAAATTAAATGGAAAAATGGAAACTAATAATCCAACCTTTTAGCGGTCTTCTTACAATAATCCAACCTTTTGTTTATTCATGAATAATCCAACCTTTGCACCTCATCTTCATTCACTGGTCCCTGACCGGTTGATGACCTGCTATTCCAAGCTATTTTCTTATCTTTTCAAATCATTATACCATAAATCTCATCTTTCACAAAGATAATATTTTGTAAAGATAAGAAAATAACTTGGAATAGTAGGTCATTAACCGACCAGGGACCAATGAATGAAGATGAGGTACAAAGGTTGGATTATTCATGAATAATCAAAATGTGGGATTATTGAAAGAAGACCGTTAAAAGGTTGGATTATTAGTTTCCATTTTCCCAAATTAAATTTAAACGTGCACAACGTTGTTCGGGTGATGGTGGATATCCGGGCACCCTGCCAGTGCCCGCTCTCTGCAGGTTCTCACAAATTGGACAGAAAGCTTACTCCTCACTATCCATTATCACTCTTCAGTCTTCACTTATCAGTACCCATTGATTAGGGTTTTCATCTTACTTCTCTCGCTGACCTTTGAGCGCCTTCTAATCTCCCAACCGCAGGTAATGTTCTTCACTTTTAGCTCTTGCCGAATATTGCGTATAGCTATTTATGTGTTTGTGTTTAACCATTTCTTATATTTGCAAAGAGTAATTGATTATTTAACTCATTGCAGGATTCATTCCTGATGTTTTGAACATTCTGCACAAGATGCACACATTAAAGGGAGCATGGGCTGGGCAGACATTTGCAGTTGCTGCTTGCAATGAGTCTGGAGGACGGAAAGCAAGGATAAGGCGCTCAAAGGAGGAGAGGAAATCTATGGTTGAGACTTTTATAAAGAAGTAATTCAGACCTTCTCTGGGGAGTTTCCCTTTACGAATTTGTAGTACTGTGCTCATTTGATTTATCAAAAGTGTGTATTTACCAATTTTTTTGTTAATGACAAGAACATTTTAAAAAACTCGGGGGCCTTTGTGTAACAGAACATGATAAATCTTCTATAAAGTTTAAAGAACAGGGAACAAATACAGAAAACTTGTTTCTTGGTCCGTTTGCCATTTCATTTGATTTCTTATCTTTTGTGCAATGCCTTTGTGTGAACATGCTAAACAGGATTACATACCTAGTATGGACTGTAGCTTGTGCGTATGCTAATACCACATACCCCAACCTACGATCTTGAGATATTAGTGTAGTTAGATACTTATACCCTATGTTAATAATGCTTGACGATTAGCAACTATTTCTTTCTTCTTGGAATCAGATGAGTTGTTGATGTTTCCATTCAATCTGAATGAGCCCTTGTTGAAAAAAGTTGTTTTTTTTGCTATATGGTTTGCAGATTTCAGAAATCAAATAATGGGAGGTTTCCTTCTCTGAATCTTACACACAAGGAAGTTGGTGGCTCTTTCTACATAATACGGGAAATTGTTCGGGAAATCATTCAAGAGAATAGAGTTTTAGGTCCTGCCATGTTGCCCTCTGCAGAGCAGGACAATGGAATTCCAGTCTTAGCCTTTCCAATTGAACCCTATTCTTCTTTGTCATCGCCAGATGACATTCACTACCACAGTACAACCAAAGGAAATGTTTTAGATTCTAATGGACAGCTTCATAGTAGTAGGACTGCTAATAACCAGTTAGATGTTGAACAAGTGGTTGTTGTTAGTAGTGACATAATTGGACTAGACAGACCTGAAGATGAACAAAATGATGAATTCTTTGACAAGGATGAAGTATCTGTAGAACCATCAAGTACAGAGTCATCACCACCAGTACAGGAAAGTGTAGGAGAGACTGGAGAACTCAAAGGATCAAAAACAAGACCCAGAGCCCAAAATGAACAAAATGTGGAATTCTCTGACAAAGATGAAGTATCTGTAGAACCATTAAGTACAGAGTCATCATTACCACTAAAGGAAAGTGTAGGAGAGACTGGAGAACTTAAAGGATTAAAAGCAGGACCCAGACCTGAAGATGAACAAAATGTGGATTTGTCTGACAAAGATGAAGTATCTGTAGAACCATCAAGTACAGAGTCATCACCACCAGCAAAGGAAAGTGTAGGAGAGACTGGAGAACTCAAAGGATTAAAAGCAGGACCCAGACCCGAAGATCAACAAAATGTGGATTTGTCTGACAAAGATGAAGCATCTGTAGAACCATCAAGTATAGAGTCATCACCACCAGTAAAGGAAATTGTAGGAGACACTGGAGAACTCAAAGGATCAAAATCAGGACTCCGACCCGAATATGAACAAAAGGTGGATTTGTCTTACAAAGATGAAGTATCCGTAGAACCATTAAGTACAGAGTCACCACCACCAGTGAAGGAAAGTGTAGGAGAGACTGGAGAACTCAAACAATCAAAAGCAGTACCCACACACAAGAATGCTGATGTAGTGGTTGAAATGTTTCCTCTACGGCCCATTTCAATGACATTTGATGACTGGGATGAGAATGTAATAAGTGAAACAAGTGGTCACACATTGCAAATGAATGCAGAAGTGGTGGAAAAGGAAAAAGAACTAGCAGTGGTATCACCTTTGCAAAGTAGTTCTGATTCTTCCATAGTCACTACTCCAGACTTCAAAGTAAAGGATTCATCTGCTCCTGAAACTAAGGTAAGCACTAAGCTTTTTCTGTTTATCCTTTTTTTTTTTAAAGATAGCGTTACTAGCATGGTCAGGAGATGAAAAGAAGAAGACAGAAAAGTATGGTTATTGGAAAAATAACTCAGCTTCCTGCTCTAGACAAGGAATTGTCTGTTGGTTCCACCGAGCATACAAGAAGAATTGTTTCTCTAGAAGTTTGATGGTCTTATTAATGAATTTAGCACCTCTATTTATACTAGTCACAAGAGTCATGGTGGTCTAGTATTCAAGTAACCCTAATTCTATTACAATACTTCTATTAGGAATATTAACTAAAATAGAATATATATTCTAATAGGATACTACAACTAAAAAACAATAGGAAACTAATCCTAATACTCAATGAAACTAATAATAATAATAATAATAATAATAATAATAATAATAATAATAATGGTAACAATAGTACTGATAGTAATAATAGGCTTCTTCTGTCCATGTCAGTTAGATTCCCTCATTTTACTTTAGCTTGGTTCTGCTGTTCTACATCGCCTACACCTAGGATTTGAGTTGCTGGAAATAGTTAAGACTTTAGACCTTGTAAAAATTTTGTGCCTTGTGGTGATGTCAATACGGATATACTTCAGTGAAGTGATGACTGATAATGTGATATTATCACTTCTTAATGTTCTTTAGCAGTTTAGTCCTTGGTTCATTGGAAGAATTTGGATTGAAGAATTATAAGTTGAGGAGTGGTGTGTGTTTGATTGTGGAAGTTTTGCAAGACCGGTTATTTCTTAATTTCGTTTTCACGAATTTTTAAAAGAATATTTAAATTATTATTGTATTACTTATACACTTCTTTATTTCTAATCATAATAGAATTATATAAAGGGGTAATTTGAGTTTGCACCCCATATTATTGTCCAAATTGGACTGTGCACCCCGTTTTTAAAAGACTTTGTTTTTGCACCCCAACTACATATGAAAATACAAAAATGCCCTTGATCAGGAATATGTTGAAGGCCAACAGAATTGTTAATGGAGGGGCATTTTTGTGTTTTCATATGGGGTTGGGGGTGCAAAAACAAAGACTTTTAAATATGGGGTGCAAAGTCCGATTTGAACAATAATATGGGGTGCAGACTCAAATTATCTCTTATATAAAATAAAATATTCCCTCCTCTGGTCCTTTATGGTTCACACAAACCAAGGAATGATAAAGTCATTCAAATTTAAGAATAATATTCAATTTACTAAGCAATGTATGAGTAATATGTTTAAGAGTTTTAAAGAGGAGCAGTTGTGGAATGAAAAGTTAAATGTTTACATCACCAAAAAAGGCTTATTTAAACCTATTCTAAGATGTCTTATAAACAGGATTAGATGACAGGAGGGAGTAAAAAGGAGTGTTAAATGTGACTCCATTTTCCTTGCCCCCCTCTTTGGGCCAAAAAGGGTTGACGAATATTTTTAAGTTTTTCCTAAATGAACAATGTAAATGAAATAATAGTCAACTTGCATAAGGAATCTTGAACATTCATCCACGACCATCCTCCTGTTTATTAGCCATCACAACTTGAAGTCATAGTCCACTTTTTTAGTAATTTTCTGATTAATAACTCCTGATGTTTGAGTTCAACTCAATATTTGGGGTCAAATGCAAATCATTTCTGATCATATCCCTGAATTACATTTGTCTTCTTTAGAAAGTTTGTCATATTTCTGTTTCTTACTTCAATGTTTAAATGATGAGTTCAATGTTTCAAGGATTTCATATTATGTTTATATTACAGTATTTGATCCAGTAAAAAGTTGACAATACTTCACTATTTCAAGGGCATAGGCAATACCATTTTTAATAATATTTTCTTTTTAGAACTTGTAATTTCTGTCCAAAAAAAGTTCCATTTCAAAACTTATGTTTGTCTCCATAAAGTCATGTGTAAAAAAAGAAGCTAATATTCACCTAATTTAATATTCAGAAGATGTGTTCCAGACTAGTGTTAGTCAAGCATGCGGAAATTAGTTAGTTTAATGAACAAATGCATTCTGTGAATATAAGTTGGGTGAATGATTTACCTGAATTGGTATGTTACAAAACCTCAGAGTTGTACCTTGATGAAAGAAGACTCTTTAAACATGAAACCTCAAAACAAGATTTAGTTCTGCTAAAAGATACGACGTATTTTATTTCCACCTAGGAGCTAGATGGCCCATGCCTGCATTGGTGGAACTAGGGGCTGGATTGAGCTTCCCCCCAAACAAAAAATTATGTGAATAGACACATACTAGTATATACAAATACTTATGTAGTCACGTATGCATATACACACACACAAATGCTTGTAATCTATATTTCAATAAAATGCTAAAATGCGAGATTCGTTCTCAACATAAAAATTTCAATCTTTGCCCCCCTACCCCTACTCCTCCAAGGCATGCTGGCCCAACTTGCAGCTGTGGCTAGGCAGGACAAAATACTGGGACGGGCACGGGCTAGTAGCCCAGTACAAAGAATTTTTTCCTAAAACGTTTACAATTTTTTGCATACACAATATATCAGACATTTACGGAAGCTGGGGGTTGGGCTGGGCCAGGAATGCCCTTCCCTCACTACGCCCCTGCCTTGGAGGATAACCAGGTTGCCCATTAGAGCTGTGAGAATCACGGAGAACAAATGTGTTCTGTGAAATATGTTGGATAAATGATTTACTTGAATTGTATGTTATATGTTACCAAAACTTGAGAGTTGTACCTTGATGAAAGAAAACTCTTTAAACATGAAACCTCAAAACAAGATTTTAGTTCTGCTAAAAGATACTACACATTTTATTTCCACTACGTATTTTATTTCCACCTAGGAGCTAGATGGCCCAGCCTGCATGGGTGGAACTAGGGGCTGGAGTGAGCTCCCCCCCCAAACGGAAAATTATGTGTGTATAGGCACAAATACTAGTATATACAAATACTTGTGTAGTTTCGTATGCATATACACACAAATGCTGTAATCTATAATTTTATAAATTCTAAAATGCGAGATTCGTTCCCGATATGAAAATTTCTATCTTTGCCCCCTACCCCTACTCCAGTACTCCTTCAAGGCATGCTGGTCCAACTTGGAGCCGTGGCTAGGCAGGACAAAATATTGGGACAAACCCATAGTCCAGTACAAAGTTTTTTTCATAAAAGTTTACAATATTTTTTGCATACATAATATATCAGACATTTACGAAAGCTGGGGGTTGGGTTGGGCCAGGAATGACCTTCCCTCGCTACTCCCCTGCGTTGGAGGCTAACCAGGTGGCCCATTAGAGCTGTGAGAATCATGATGGTACCTGAGCTGTTGCTCCTAAATCCTATAATGTGTATTATAGTACAAATTAGTGTAAAAAATGAGAGTTTGTATTCTTTCTGCAGACATTCATCAGTGGGAGTTCTTCCAACAGATCTAACGAGAAGTTTGGTTTGGAGGAGTCTCTTTCATCAATAAATAACAGAGAAGAAGATATTATCAAAGTGAAAAATGGTCCTCCCCCACTTGATAGAATCAATCTGTAAGTCTCTATCTATGGCATGCACCGGATTTGCTATTCCCGGTTGACTTGTTATTTTCCTGCAATTATTTTGTCTTCCACTCACTTGTTTTTTCCATGTTTTTTGAAGCAGTGAAACATGGAAAGGGACAGAAGCAGAGACAGCCACCAAACATGACAACAATCCACTTTTGGCTTTATTCAAGTCCTTCCTCACTGCCATTGCTAAAATTCTGCACTGAAAAACAGACTTTCCTTTGAAGTTCTCATCATCATATTTGCTTCAATCATTAACTCGCGCCTTTCCAAGTCATTTACTATCTTATATGCACGAGAAGTGAACAATGTAGACATGAATGATCCGTTGATTAGCTTTGACAATGAAGCATTCTATGATATTGTCTGTCTTCTTTTTTGAAGTGTGATTCTCACTATGGTGAAATTAATTTTTTCTGTAGTGAGAAATTTATTACGGAGTATTATTATTAATTTCTTCTAAACACTGGACACCAAAATGAGGAAAAGCTTTTCCTTTGTTAAAACTTAAAAGGGCACTTTAGGAGTTTAGGTCTTTAGCAAATTTTCTCTAGGGATGGATGAATGATGATTTACAAAAAGGAACAACGACGTGGAAGTTATGGTGTTGGAAACTGGCCTCACGTTGACATTCAGTTGGTATGATGTTCAAAACTAGTTATTTCTTTGCACAAATATATTATTATGTAATATTCATCACTAATGCAGACTTATTTTTAATATTTGTCAACTATCATAAGCGAGACACATAACTACATAAGTACATAACTCTTGTTTGATCACACGTAGACTCAGTCACTCAGAGGCATCTTTAGAACTCTGGAGACCCTAGACGGAAAACACCTAAAACCCGTTTGGTAACGTTGAAATCGGTTGATTCTGCTGATTCTGCTGAAATTTATGAAGTTCTAACTGAATTGGTTGTATTGACTAAGTCTGTTGATTTATGAAAAAATTATATTTAAAATGTATTTTATTTAAGAATTACAGAAAAAATCATATTAAAAATAGCTAAAATGATCCTCTACCCGGTAAACTCAACCAATACACCAGGTAAACTCAACCGATTAAAATAGATATTTTATATACCTATTATACTTCGTATTAATTTTTTTCTGAGGCCCCATTAAGGTGTAAAGCCCAAGGCAAATGCCTGGCCTTACTCCCCTCAAAGCCGCCCCTGCGTAGACTTGATAACTCTTTTTTTTCTTCTTCTTTTTTCTTCTTTTTTCTTTTTCTTTTTCTTTTTCTTTTTTTCTTTTTTTTTCTGTTTTTTTTTTCTGTTTTTTTTTATAAACTCTTTCTTGTTTTGAGAAATTCGAATGTTTTTAATTGGACTCTTGATGTGCTTTGATAGATGTTTGTTCTATACTTGCATCCGGAGTATTTTATTGTTATAGAAATTCAGGATTATGAGGGTGGTTCAAGGATGATGTTTTTAATTTTCATTTAATTTTGGTCATGTGTAACATATCTATTGTTTTATATAGTAAAATTGAGTTACAACCCAATGATGTGTCAATCTCTCATTGGTTACTAAAATTCTATTATCACTCACATTAAAACTTTAATTAAATCTCCCTAAGTCCACACGTTCATCATAACCTATTAACCTTAATTAGGCTAACTCATTTGGAGAAGAGAGAGGAGAAAAAATCTCTTATTTTTAAAGTGTTATAACTTTTTATTTGTACTCCAATTTTCATTAAAAATAATATATCAAAATTCAAATTTTTTTATGATCTTTCATATGACACCAATATTGCATATGTAAAAATAAAAAATATGAAGACTCAATTGATGGAGATTTTTAAGCTTAGAACTATTTTATTAATAAAAGCCCAAAAACGTTGTTTTTGAGTAGATTGAAATCTGAAAATTAAGATTTAATTTCATATTTAATTTTTACATTTTTGAGTTCATATTTCAAAAAAATGTCTAAAACACTGGATTTCTTATTGCATATTGTTCTATATAGTAAATTTGAATTATGAAATGCTACGTGTGACTCTCTTATTGACTTCGAATAATACATATTAACATTTCTAATTTTATAATCGTTGTTTAACTCAATTAATTACATTTAAAAATCATAAATTCGGCATTAAACTGAAATTATCAGTTTAGTTTGCATGTTACAAAAACATTTAATATTTTTATAGCAAACTAACATAACCAGTTGAGTAATTAAAATCAGTTAAAAACAGCTTCATATAATCAGAAAAAATAATTATTACAATAGTACAACAGTTATAATAAAAGTCTTTTACCTATCTCTCCAGTTCTACTCATGATTTATATTTACACTTACATGATGCAAATGTAAGTGTAATACTCCCTGCGTCCCATTTAAAGGTTCCTGTACACTATTCTCCGATCAACGTGCATTGTTCTTAATCTTTTACTTTATATATCGAAAGTTTATGAAATTTAAATTATTTTTTGCAGGTTTTATAGCGGGTTTAATGTAGTTTCTGAATATGTAAATTTTATTTACTAAAAATAATTCTATTAATGACAGGGATCAATTAATTTTATGATCAGTCAAACATCGTAATTCGTGTGAGAACTTTAAAGTGGGACGGAGGGAGTATAATATAAACATTTTCAATGTAAGTGTAATCCAATGTAAATGTTAATGCATATTAACATTTCTAATTTTACAATCGTTGTTTAACTCATTAATTTTACAACAATTAATTAATTTATAACACCTACATAATATGTTTAATTATTGATTGGATTGTGCATAAAAATTATATTGTAAATTATGTTTCAAATTCAATAATTCAATTATATGCATAGCTAGATACACTCAGTTTATACCGTGAGTAAAAACATTATGATATGAAAACATAATAACCATACGCATATAACATGAACACAATCAAAATCTTCACAGTAAAAATAATATACATAACACTTTTATTATTCTAGCTTCAATTATGCACAATTGCAAGAATAACAATAATATACTCTCATCGTCCCAACGAAACCCAACAAAATTGCAACATGGAAACAATGAGGATAAGCGGGATCACGATACGTGTTGGGGCTGCGATATTGTAGTTGCATTCTTTAGCGCAACCGCATCTGGCCGCAATGGAGGTGAAATTTCAATTCACGGGGAAAATCTACTACGCAACCCAACGAAACCACAACGGGGCCATATCAGATCGTATCAGGACACCAACAATAATTATTTTCTCATTTCGTTTGAATTTAAATTAAATTAATAGTAAAAAGGAATTATATTAACTTTGGATCCTATGAATAATTCACCTGTACAATATTTGTTACTACGTAATATTTTTCATTTTAACTACTCATACTCCACATACTACTCTCGCCCAAGCACGCTTTGCTTCGGAGTTCTGATGGGAGCATTAGTGCTGGTATGATCGCATCCCAAAGATTCAAAGATTCATTATTTTTTGGCTTGAGAATATGATGGAATAAAGCAAAATGGCTCACTAAACAGTCTGCGCTTCTTTGTTACAAAGTAGCAGTCAGTCCATGCAATTTTGGATGCGATTTTCACTATGAGTCATCCGGAAACAGTCTCTCTGTGATTTAGTACAAGGGTAAGACTGCGTACATCCGACCCCCTTACCCCAACGTAGGTGGGAGCCTTTGCGGCACTGGGGTAAATGAAAATGAAAATGATACTCCACATCAAATTGATGCGTTACTGGGGCATTGCCCCGGGCTTTACACTAGTTTTATGTTATAATAATTGGTTGTAATGGTTCGACTAAACTTTTAAGTATAGGGTTTTTTTTTTAAAAGTTGGGGTTTAATTCACTCAACTGAGTGTTTTTTAAAAAGTTGGGGTTTAATTCACTTTTAGCATAATATCTTTATTTGATAGTTTTCCCTTTAATCAACCATTGAAATAAAGGCTTACGGTCCATTTTAATTAATCAAATGGACATTGCTAATTAATGTGTGCATGCTAAGGTTGTTGTTGTTTGGACTGGTTCCAGTTTCAGAGTGATCTAGAACATACCAGACTAGGCTTACACAGATTAGACCGGATCAAATAACGACAGTTGTAAAATACACATAGGTTAGATATATAACAGACTAGATCAAACCAGACTTAAATATACTAGATCAGGTTGAATTAGAAAATGGCAGTCCAATTAAAAACATTCCAATTGATGATCTAAACGGGCATAGCTAAGGGGTCACATGTGCCCTGATCCACCCCAATTTGGATAAAATACTTCATGTAAAATTACAGTCATTTGTATGAAATTCCATCAAAATTTTATGATTTTTTATGCGGCCCACCTCATTTTTCTCCTCCACGGCTAGTCGCCTAAGCAAGTAACGCAACTGACCAGATAATCATCATCAGTTCAACTAATCTCATGCATTGCGATTTAATTTGTTACTCTCTGAACAGTGTGTTAGTAGCTAGCTAGCTGTAGTGTTTTGTGACCATGTATATACTATAGCTTAGGGCTGGGCGCGGGCCGGGTTGAGGGCCTGAGGCGGGTAATGCCAAATAAAATGGAACCGCGGGTTCTATCGTACGGGCCGGTTTGGTCCGGGTATTGCAATTTTGAATATAAGAACCGGACCTTACCCGACCCGTTTGAAACGGGTCGATCCGGTTCGGGTTTTTCGGTTCCTGTTTGTATGTCTTAAAAATAGTAACAACTTCTGAATTTCAAAAATCAATAATATAGGGCATTGGTAAATCTCAAAATAACAACATACTCAACAACATGCACGTACATTTAACACAAGTGACGTGTCCTAGTTGATAGCTAACAACATCCTCAACAACGTGCACGTACATTTAACACAAGTGACGTGTCCTAGTTGATAGCTTCAATTCATATATTTACGTTTCAAACATTCAAAGAAGTTCCAAAAATCATTAACATAACCACTATTAAGTTCCCAAGTCACAACTTCAAAGGTCCATAATAACAACATAGTAAACCTTCAAAAAGTCCTAAATGACATCAAAATAACAACATAGTTTACCTTAAAGTCCCAAATTACAACACGAAAGTAACAACATTATAATTAATATTCATTACTAGCTTAAAAATACTCCAAAACTGAAATATAGAAAATTTGAAATACATTGTCAGCATTAACAGTTCTCGGGACACAAAAAGCATAAGTCCCATTGCTACTCCAATACCTGAAAAGCACATAATGTGAAGTTTCTTAAATTAGTAATATAATATTATCACAATTTTACTAAAATAATAGTTTTAGTAAAGATTATAGTTGTAATTGTACTAGAATATAATTATCAATTTGTCATTGTTGTAGTAGTCTTATTCTTTCCTACTCCCAAGAGGTTCTCTATTGCTACAAACTTAGGAAAGTAGTTAAACTAGTGAAACTAGTTAAATTAGTGAAACTAGAAAAAAAAATTAACTTCATCACCACAAAAAAAATGAACTTCACAAATAATTTAACTTTACCACGAGGCATATATTAGTTGTAAATTACTACAAAGTATATATAACGGGCCAGGGCGGG